AATTCTCCTCCCAACCGAGATTCGGAGGGCGTTCCAGATTTGGGTCACTTTCAAGAAAACTCTAGATCTCTGATAGCCATCTTGAATCAATTCTGATATTCAGATCTCTTCATCTGAAGTTTTATCTTCAAAATGAGCCTAAGATTTCTAAAATCGGTTGACGTGGAAAAAATTTATGGCTGCAAAACCAAAAAGTTGATTTTTTGAGATCACTCTGTAAATAAGAGAGATAGGAAGTTGATTCGCGAAACATCTCGAGGTAATGGGATCATCTTCATGCCTCTATTGTCGAAGTTGAGAAAAAAAATTATTTCACCATTTGAGAGCCTTTTGAATATTCCGAAATTTTGCACAGTGTCGGAAAACACCATGTAGAGATTTTATGTGAATACCCTTATGTTTCAATGAAGTACGAGATTATAGCTGAAGGACTGGGCTATCGAACAGTGTGAACTAAAATTCAAATTGTTTCAAACTGAAAAAAGTTATTCACATTATAACAGGGGCGACATTTTGGTGTGCGACGAAATTAGTGTTGAGTAGTTTATATACATATTTTATTATCATTCCATTATGTGGAAATAGTCTGGATACATACCGAGTAGTATTCCCAAGTAGTGGGAGAAGATCCAGTTTTGGATTGGGTATCTTTAATGGACTTGAAACGCCGTTTCATTGTATCCATCTTGACACAACATTGTTGTTCTGATGCTTTGATGCCACTTTCATCAAGGGTGGAGAAAATCAATTCACAACCCTCTTCAAATTTTTCGTTCTCAAATTTATGTTCATATTCCCTATATGAATCCAGTAAGAATGAGATAGATTTATGATTCCACCTGAATGAGGTCTTATCAGAGGATCCTGAAAATTGTTAAATGGGATTTGAAGATATGAATAATGTATTCTAAATCGAGAAAAAACCCAAAGTCGTCTCCACAATATTTAATGTATAATCTGGCAGTCAATCCTGCTTCATTAAGGTTGATACATGTTTCGGCCATTCAAATGGCCATCTTCAGTCAAAAGAATACAACAAAGTGCATGTGGAAATATTTCAATGCATCATGGAGGCGAAAAAAATTTTTTGTTATTGCTTAATCATTATTTATTATTCAAATTTGATAAAATTGGATGTATGAGGAATTGGGAGGAAGGCAAAAAGCCCAATCCCCCAAGAGGAGAGTTAAATACTTCATAGGACGCTGAAGAAGCTCTTGAAGAGCTTCATACATCCAATTTTATCAAATTTAAATAATAAATAATGATTTAGCAATAA